GAGTTGAGCATAACTTGCTTTTCGCAAGTTTATCGCTGCTCGTCATCCACACCTCCCGCTGAACGCGTAACGCTACTTTGAAGTTTGTTTTTCGCGCTACTTGTACAGCACTATGTTGCCTGGCGGATGGACATGTGACCAACATACCACTCTTGAACCCCGATACTGTGTGTCTGATCACATGCCCTTCCGCCAGGCAACGTAGTGCCGTACAACAGCGGAACAAACAAAACAAATCGTCTTACGATATGACAAAAATCATGGACAATCCATAGAAAAGCCGCAGGGTTCAAAGCTTGTGCAAAAAGTAGCGGCTTATAGCCCGACAATTACGGTACCCAGTCTTCTTTTGTGAGCTCCCAGCCTATCCCTTTGGCCGACCACTCCTGGGGAGGATAATAGTGGTCCTGAAATTCATTCTTTAAAGACATCTAACTGTGGGTTGATGAAATCCAATATCTTCAGAAATAGTTCTGTAATATTTCCAGCCTAATAAACATCAACAACTCACCCTCTTTTGCCCTGAACGATGTACTTCTGCAAATACTTTGAGATGATCAGTTTAAAAAAAATAGGGTACCTACTTCACATTTGCAGGATCTGCTTTTAGGGCTGATATTAAAAACAAAAAGTTTTAATTTCATTTTTGCAGAAATACAGAGCACACAACGTCTCAAGCACCAGTGTAAACATGCAATTATAGTATGGTATGACCTGTTTTTGTCTTAGATCTATATTTTGACTTCTTATTATGACTTGAGGACAGTAGTTAATCATTTCACATATATTGTGACCCTTAATCTCCAGTAAGAGTTCACAAAAGGTTATTTCCACACTTCTATTTATGGATATCAATCTCTCTTTTTTCTGTTATGCTTTTTTTTCTTTGTCACCATTTCTCTGTCCATTTTTCTTCAATGTGACATGTGGCTTCTTGATGTCAATTTTTTGCTTCATCACTATGTTTTTGGATGATTTTTAATGGTGTCTATCTATCATCTTTCTATCCATCTATCTCTCTTTCTTCCTGTCTATCTATCTCACCTCCATTCTGCTCTATTCTGGTCTCTGTTGTTATTGTTGTGGTGCGTTTTGATTTTCCTTGTTTACATTTTGCTGTAGGGCAGTAGTTCGGTGAGCGGCAGCCCGGTTCCCTCTACCTCGGGGACCAGCACTCCAAGGAGAGGCCGCCGCCAGTTGCCTCAGACCCCTGCAGTCCCACGCCCACATGTCACCTACTCCCCCGCGGTCCGCAAGCCCGGCTATGGCCCCCCAGGGCCAGGTCGCCTGCGTTCACCCTCTCCACGACACTTCTCCCCTCCAGACCATGACAGAGGCTACCACCACCGACCCCCGTCACGCCACGCCTCTCCCCACCACGGGGGCTCTTCATCCCGGCATGGTTCGCCACGCTCCCCTAGGCACCAGTCCCCGCGCTCGCCCCTCCACGGCTCACCCAGGTCGCCTCACCGAAGCCGCTGGAGCGGGCCTCCACCCGGGGACAGCCTGGAGTGTGACGGGCCCTTCTACGAGAGAGATTATGAGTATGAGCGTCACCACGAGCCTCCCGCCTACGAGCAGAGCCTCTCCCACGGCAACCCTCACCCACATGGAGGAAATCCTCACCCACACCCACGTTCACCTAGGACTGCCCGCCACGGGCCTCCTCCACCCCCTCAACCGCATCCACGCAGGGTACCCAATGGTTACCGCTCATCTTCACCTTCCCCACACCGACGGGGACCACCAGGGGTGCCGCCCCACCCACACCACCGGCCTGCCCATGCCAGAGGGCCCCGCAAGGGCCTGCATGAACCTTATAGTGAGACGGATGAGGATGACTGGTGCTAGCAACCATAAAGAGCTTGGGATATGGCAGGAGAGGAGAAGAAGAACAGCAGTCTCCAGTGCTCTGGCCTTGGATGTGTAGACTAAAAGAAAAAACAAACAAAAACAAAAAACAAAACAGAGTGGTGGGAGGGGTTGGACACCCTCAAAACCCTCTACCTTCAGCTCTCAGACTATGAACGAGTGGAAGGGGTGGAGGGGAGGGGGGGCAGCAGAAAAGCCTTTTACACATTTTGTGTAATACTCAAGTGAGTGACAGAGCAGCATATGGGTAAAAAAGAAAAAGGGACCGCTAAGGCCTGGACACAGTTTACCTCTGCCTCTTTCAATCTCAGAACTACACTTCCCAGAATCAGCCTTGATCATCAAGACCTGGCTGCAGGAGGAAAAGAGACGTGTGGGAGTGCAAGCAAGGGAGGAGCACGAGGTTATTAAAGTGCGATGTTATGAGGCCTAAAAGCACTTCTCTCAGACTGATGCCTGATTGCTTAGATTTGCTAGACATGTGCTATTTGTCACTGGCCAGACTGCTACTGTAAAAGCCTGAAAATGAGCTGGAACACAGAGTCCGCCGCTTAGACTCTGCTCCTAGACTGATATGTTTAAAGATACATCAATTAATAAAAAGCCAGGACCCCCCCAACCCTTACATGCCAAGCTATGCCTCCAGAAAATCAAACTTGAACAATGAAGAACACAGTGAAACTTTACATGACAAACACTGAAAAGAAAAAAAAGGGAGAACAACCACTTTATCTAGAACCTTTTTCCTGTCCAACTGACAGAACCAGGAAGCTCCGCCTATACTGCAAAAACCAGCCAATCACAGCGCTGGCTGATATTTGATGAGTTTTATCATCTCTGTTTACTGTTAAGGACTCGCATAGTGCTGATGGAACTGATGTGACATCACTTCCTGTCCAGCAGATGGTGGTGATAGGAGTAGTAGTAGTAATAGTGGTGGCAGGGGGGAGAGCCACAGTGTGGGCTCACTTCCTGTTCACTTGCACTTGTGGGCTGGGCTCAGGTAACTAGAGAAAGGGAGTCGGACACTTTGTCAAGCCCCTTCCCTCTCTGTTACTCAACAGAGGATGACCCGACAGGAAATGACATCACACAGTTGAATAGGGCGGAGGAGAGGAAAGGAGGGATGGGAAAAAAAGACTAATTTCTTCAGTATTTCTTCTGTCGTTTACTTCTTGTTCTTCTTAGGACATTGGAGCTTGGTTCTTCTGTTGCATTCGCTCAGCCTCCTTTGATCTTTTTCAGAGCTCAAAATTTGATGGAAACCTGCATGACTGATTAAATACATATTAGAGAGGAAATCTAACTGGTGTGGGTGGGACCTGGGGGGCTTTGTAGGAAACTTTGCATTTAGGTTTACAAAAGAAGCTCCCTTCTTTCCAGCTCTTTCTTTCTCTCTCAGATCTCAGCAGAAATGTTGTTTTGTGGTTTCTTTGTACCTGAAGCAGGTTTTGACAGTTGGGTATTTTATTTGTCTCCGTTTCTGCCCAAAGCTCTGTTACTGCAACCTGTTAGAAGACAAGGAGCACCTTAAAGTTTCTGTCTGCACTTGAGAAACAAGAGGGAGAAAGGGCATGGAGAAGCGAACCTCTAACACACTTTATTTATTATTGTTAATGATGACACTTTTATGAATAATGATATCAATGTCAATGCAAAACGATGGTGACAATGATGATGATAATGGTGATGATTGGTTGAATTGTTGCTGTAGATTTGTTGTCATGTTATTTGGAGTTATGCTGTGTATGCTATGTTCATCCTGTTTACATCCATTATGTTATTATTCCCCCGTTCAATGATGTTTATCGGGTTCCTGATGCCTTGCTGCAATGTTTCAAGTCAACTGCGGCTTGGGAACTCTTCCTGAGCAGCATTGTGTGCTATAATGCAAATCTTTAAAGACACACTTTTTTCTCTCTGGAATGGTGGAGGTCAGATGGACTCTCAGTTATCTGACCTGAAGTGGTTCAAAAGGGGTCAGAACTCTGTCAAGCCAACCCAAAGATCAGTAATTTAGGTTCAGAGTGAGAGGTAGGACAATTTATTGAGAGCCGTGAAAACTTTGTCTTCTCTTCACGCTTAAGAGGTGCTCAGAAAAGGTCATTTTACCGGGTTAAAAGTTCTACTGAGATTGAATTCTCCCACTTGCTGCCAAAAAAAAGCTTTTCAATCTGTTGGGCTCTGTAGTTTTGTAGTGAGAACAGCACAGTATTAGTGGTACAGTGTTGGTGTCGGTCAGTATTTTTGCCACCAGGGGGCAGTGATAAACATATTATGTTATTGGCCCTACCTTCCCTGTCTGCAGGACAGTCTCTGAGCCACATCCTAGTTTCAAGATCAGGAGTCAAAGCTGATCTTCACCTTATATCTTTGCAAGATATATATGTCAAGTCCTTGTGTTTCGCAGGAAACATGGATGCAGCCCGAGAGACAATATCTGTTTGTCAGTCCGCCCTTCCGCTTGCTTGTCTGCGCCAATGCTGACCATCCACCCCACCCTACAACCCCTTCTCTCAGGTCTGGCTAACCAGAGTCAACTAGTCACCCCAGTTCAGTCACATACGGTTGTAGCAAACCATTCCCTGCCAAAGCCAACCTCAGTATCCACCGACCTTCTTTTCCCTGATTTATCCTTCTTTTGCTGTCCATTTGACGTCTGTTCTTTCAGCTTGGTAGAGAGTGATGCTGAAGGTTCAGGACAGAAACACTTAGGACTAATAATATTTCATCCTTATTGTTATGAGGGATAACACTTATTGAATATTCAATAACTCTAGGACAAAATGATAAAGTATAGATAAATATAGTTGATTACCTACAGATAAACCTAGATATGATATCGTAGATGTAGTTATAGACAACAGAGTATAATTAGAGTTTCAGATAAATATTTATTTTGCATACCGATCACGCTCACAAAGAAGTCAAAGAATCGAGCTACTCTTAAAACCTCGCGCTGTTTGCAAAAGCCAGAAAACAAACCCCAGTCCACGTGTTGACTCTATGCAGACCTCATAGGCATCCTCATCATATTACTTCAAAAAGGTGAACCCACGACGCAGTGGTTCTGTAAAACAGGCCCAGGAAACGGGAACATGCAGATCTGAGAAAATGTGAACACTGGCACCGATGTTTTTTTCCCCAGACTTCACATGACATCACACCCCCACAGTTCATGTACCTCTGTAGCTGTCTTTTTCCCTCCCTCCTCCTGATGACGAATCCCTTTTTTCCCTCCACAAATTTCTATTCTCTCCAAAAGATGCGTTGCCTCCAGGCCTCGTAGTTGAGCATTGCGTAGGAAAGATGTGGATTGGGGGGGTGGTTGTTTTTTGTTAACAGTTCATTTGCTTGGTGGGCATGAAGGGGCGCATAACACGAAACCCCTTTTCTGTCCTCACCTACAATCAAGAGGTTACGGCAGGTGGGGAATGTTCCCCAAAGCCCCCTACAGAGCCACAGTGCCTTCTGTATCCGAGTCAAATTTGTCATGCCCCATCTTGTCCATCGCTCACCCCCCTCAACCCTTAACCCACTGTAGTAGATGAGATCATCCACACTACGCCTTAAAAGTTGAGTCCCACTGGCGCCCATGCTAGCATAGAAATGGGGAGAGTGGTGACTTTAAAACTGGGCCACAGTGAGGAAACGGTCAAAAGGCTAGACTCGAAGCAGGAAAGCCACATCGCATCCAGAATGGGACGGACGACTTTAAAACTCCCATTCAGACATACAGATTTTTGTAAAAGTTGCCAAAATCCTAAGAGATCCACACAGTTGGAATCAAAGCCTTGAGGTTTTGGCCTCTACAGACTAAAATGACCATCATTTCAGGATCCTGCTAACTGGCTAGCCCTCTTGGCTATGGTGTGGCACCATCTCGTGTCCATCCCGGAGATGTCCTGGGTCCAGTTTCAGGCGGTGTAGTGAGAGTTTTACAGAGGTGCACGGCAGTTTGCTTACTTCTCAGGTCCCTCTAGAGTTAGGTAGCTAGATAGAAAACATAACAAAGAGTCAGCTACACGACAACACGCAGGCGTCAGAGTTATTGTATGGTTTTACCTGGTGTGGTGTCAGAGGTTGGAACGGTAACCCCACCTTTCTGCTTTCACTAGCACATTATACACCGACTCCTCTCCGTCAACAGCCTGCCGACGCACCGACACGCCACACTGTTGACAGGCAGGCATTAAAAAGCCACCTCCATTTTGGCTCCATGACACCACTCGCTTGTCCAGAATTGTAACAGCAGATCCAAAATGGCCGACACACAACACTGCCCTTTTGTGAAAGCATGTTGTGTGTGAGCATTTCCAAAAACAAACACCGTTCTCTTTGACGATAAAAGATCAGTGAGCATTTGATCTTTATTAGTTTTTGTGGGTGTTTCTCTTTGTTTTGCACGGGATTGGGGGGGGGAGGGGAGGGTCTGCAAGGTTTTTTGCTCAGTCATCACTTCTCTCCACATCTCCTTCGCATCTTCACCTCTGGCTTCTGTCACCTTTCTAAACGTGTGACTAATCATTTCTGGATTTTCTTCTTCCTTCTGGGATAAAGGAAAACCGAACAGACGCACCAACCCATCCGCTCAGTTGGCTGTGAAATTGTGTCAGCGGGTCAGTCGTGAGGCAACGTTTCAAAAAAACAGAAATAAGGGCTCTCTTTAAAAAAAAAGAAGAAGAAGAAACAGTACACCGTGGGTTTTAATGTACAGTAGTGCTGCCAAAAGTTGTGCTTATGTAGCTGAAGCCACTCTGTGGTCCCCTTTGTACAGCACTAAATGTGTGCATGCGTGTGTGTGTGTAAGGGGGGGTCAAGAGCAAGGCAGGGGAGGGACGGGTGGGAGGGGCCGAAGGCAATTTCTTAAGAGGTTTTGGTGACTCCAGGGGATGGAGGGGGGAGTTTGGGGGAGGGGAGGACAGGGAGCAGCAGCAGCAGAGGTCATACAGATGTTTTACACAATTTCACAATGGCACTGGACCACTTTTCAGGCTCATCCTCATCCTCAGAAGCCATGTTTTCCACCGTCAACCCATCCACGCTTTGTCCCGCTGTGAGGAAGGCGGGGCTACTGCTGCCATAAGGAGACATTTCCTCTGTTTGTGATGTGACAGTGTGTGAGTGTATATGACTGAGCAGGTGTTTCGAGTGGCGTCCAAGTGTGTTTAGTGCTGAAATCGATTTGTGTGATTAATCACTAATCACTAATTATTATACATATACGTATCAGGTTTGTCACAATACTAGAATTTAAAAGTCAATACTGATGCCATGGAAACCAATGTCTATACCACAGGGAAAAGTGAGAGGATATTTTAAAAAAGAAATATCAACAGCAAAAGTACTTTTAAGTTTTGCGAACTTGTGCAAAAAATACAACATTGTTGTTCAGAGTTATGAGCGTTATCTCCTTCAGTGTATACTGTTCAATACTGTTGCCAATGAATATCTGATTGACTAATAGCTGATCCCAGTATGTTCTTTTGCTTCCTTTTTTCTAATAAAAATCACTTCAACTTCTAAGATTTTTGGCAATGGCTTAAGAGTTCCTGTTAAAGTGCAGGTTTGTTGTAATGTGGATTACAAGCATTGAAAACACATTTGCCCATTAGTGTTCATTAATGAGCCTGGTCTTTATTTGAAAAGAAGAAAATAACAGTCAAGTTTGGTTCAAGTTAAATAAGTGACCATCTAAGTAAGACTAAAGTAGTAAATGGTTTTGGAAGGTTGCGTTGGCTGTCTCTATAATCGACTAATCGTTTCAGCACTAACTGTGTGTGTGTGTGTACATGTGAGAAGATACGGGACTGGGTTTGCATGCATTCGTCAGTTTATTAGTGTGTGTGTGAGTGTGTGTGTGTCCTGGCACCATCGGCTACAGAAGGTAATCCTCAGTGCCTTACACTGTACAGGACACTAAGATGATTTCTTCATCTGAGATATTCACAGCGCACACACATTACGTTTTAACGTCCTCATTGCCCATTGGTAAGGATGGTGTGAAGGGGGTGTGTGTGCGTGTTTGTATTTGTAAGGGGTGGGTGGGGATGGGGTGGGGCTCGGTAGATCATCATGTCACATGTGTCACCCATCATCTCCCTCTCTCTCCGATGCCATCTAATGTGTATATTGCCTCTGTAATTCTTGTGTATACAATCCATAAAGTTTGTGAAAAACTCACTGTGTTCATCAGATCTCCATTCATTCTGCACTCGTGTCGCTTCTCTCCTCCCTCCGTCTCCTCGCCCTCCCTCATCGTGTCATACCACCCGTGAACGCAAGGTGGTGGGATTGAGCTTTCACAGTCATCGCTCATTGTGAAACGCCCGTGTGGATCGGTTGAGTGAGTTGATGCTTGTGTGCGCATTTTTGGTTTGGAGGCGTCTGTCTGGCGCGTGTGCGCCTTGCTCAGTTCCTCGTGGAGCCTGGCAGGTGTCGGGGCTGAATTTATTCACTTAGATGAATAATTTGTAACTCAGATGAGCTCATCTGATCAGCAGTGAGAAAAGAAACCATTCTCAGTGATCAGTTTCTCACCTCAAGGAAACAAGAACAGCAAATACAGCCCGCCAAACCCTTACATTGTATGTTAGCGCATTAAACTGCATTTAACGTATCGATAATCTCTTTAGCAGATAAGGTCTTTACATTTACACTGAAGGAGAGAGTTATTAATGCAAAAGCATGACACCTGCCTGGTTCCCTAATCCAATCAGTAAATCGATTCTTCAGAAACACGGGTGAAATGCCTCTTGCTGTAGCCGCTGCAACCCTCAAGCAAGCTCCCCACTGTTTCCATCCATGTCCTTCATTCTTCCCTCACCATCTCTGTGCTCTCTGTTTGTTTGCATCGCCATCAGCCCACCAGAGAAGAGTTGCCTCCAGAAGATTCGATTTCTTTTTTGCTTTTTGCTCTCAACGTCAGACACTGCAGGCTGATCGATCCCAAAACTGGACTGTTTTCTAGGTTTGAAAATACTGTTAAATATGTTCTTGTGAAGAAGACTCTGAATCCCTTTAACCAACTTAGGGAACATTAGTGATGCAGCAAACGAGCTATTACGTCATGTTCAAGCCACTAGAGATGTTTAATCTGCTGCTTTGTGACAGTTAGGCAACAGCTGGTGGAGCAGTCACACCGGGCCAAACAGTTAAAGGTTTCAGAGTGACCTTCTCCAGTTACACAGCCTCCATCAACTGTTAAAAAACACAGGGTTCAATCTGACTTCAAGGGATCCGAATACCAGCCGATTAAAAAGCTTTGTCAGCGCTGAGATGCAAAGCTGGGAATCTCTCTGGAGCATCCATCGCCACGCACGCCATCCGACCCTCGACCCAGTAGAACCAAAACCAGTGCCACAGTAGAAAACCATACAGCAAGTCGGGGTGGAAAAAAAAAAGATAAAAATATAATCATACATGGCAATTTAAGATAAAAGAGAAGTATTTAATTACAGATTTGCATGTGCAATGTGCATGCCACTATGTTGGGTAACAAGTCAACTTCAGGAATTAAAAAAAATATATTAAATATAAAGAAAAAGTATATATATGTAAAATATATATATATAGATAGATAGATGTTTTTAAGAGCAATGTGTTTCTTTTTTCTTCTATTTTTAAAAACAAAAATAAAAAAAACACAAATAAAAAAGCGGAAAAACAAAATCATGCTAACAAAAAAAAAATGGAAATGACTTTGATGATAAAATCAAAGAATGTTTGTTTCTTATATTTGCCAGTTATTTCACGGGGAGGGAGGGGGGGTATCCATGGGGTAAGAAGGATAGATAACACTTAAAATAACATTACAAGAAAAAAGAGAGAGAAAAAAGATTTTAAAAAGGGGGGAGAAGGAATACTAAACTTTTCCTGGATGATAAACAATCCCTTTGAGAGTAAAGAGCTGCCTGAACCTGAATCTGGTGATGTTATTCCCGTTTATGAATTCCCTTCTTTCTCTCTTCCTCTCTCTTTCTCACTTTCTCTGACCATCTCTTTCTCTCCCTGTTTCTTTCTCTATCTCTGCTGTTTCTACCAGTGCATTTTGTAATTTCAAACAGAACTCTTCCTAAAGAACCTGAATAAACCAGAGAGAATGCATTCTAACCATCCTCCTGTCTGCTTCATTGATGCCACACACCGTGACACCGCTGACGAATCAGATTACACATAATCTAATCACATCTAGTTGGTGTGATAACAGATGTGAAATAGCTTGTTTTAGCTCCACAAAGAACTGCAGGTGGACTCACTGAAATCAATACAAGACTGAACAAACTCTCATTGCAATTCATCACATGGGAAATGCATGTAAATGGATTTCAGTTCATGAGAGGAGAAGCTTATCGTGATGTTCTGCAAACTTGAACGCAAATCCAAATGCTACAGCCACAAACTGGAAATAAAGGATGGCCATTACTTACATTTTAATCTGCAGTGTTTCTAATGGCCTGCAGGGCGCCTCTTCGTGTGATAAAATAAAAGTCAACTTGCAAAGAAGTCTGTAAAAAAACAACTTTCTGCCTTCCCTGATTCATGATTGCAATAAATACTTTCCGGATGAGTTCATAGTGTCTGCTAGTTAAGTCTTGATAAATATTTGTGCCACTTTTATTTATTTATTTATTCTTGTTGCTAGCTGCTGTAGACTCCACCTAGCCTTGCTCAGACATCCTCCCAAAACACTTGCTTGCCTTCTTTTACTTTGTCATCTCAAACTGAATTGTTAAAATCTCAGTAAGATAAGAAAAATTACCCATCTGTCTACAAGTTGGTGCTGGTACCATATGACCAATGAGAAACATGAGCAGGCGTACCGGGAGCAGAGTCATTTACACTGCTCAAAAACCAAAAAAAAAAGCTGTTGTCACTTTGATTTTCAGGTTGTTTTCCATTCAGCCCCCTGTAGCTCAATACTTTTCATTTCCATCAAATGATGTGGGATCCAAAGACATTAGCCAGTCCATATAGGAATAGATATCGAGCATGATTCTTTTTCTTACTGAGAGCTTGCTCTCCGTTAACTTTTTCTTTAAATTTACCTTCTACTGAGGACTTAGACGTCATTGATTCTCATTGTGAAAAAACAAAACCAAAAACACCAAATAAATGAGGCACGTGATAACTCAGGGTTAAACCTTTAGCTTCCTGATACCGAGAAGAACAACAGATGAATTACTCTGTCCGTGCGAGAGTTTTCTGAGCTTTCAGGACGTATGTTGTACAGGAGAACAACTGGAAGGCTGTTCTCCTGTACGATCGTGTAACAGGAGTAAATAAATTGTGTGGTGATTTAAATACGGGGACAGTGAGCACTGTAACCAGTGGCTCTTCTTCTTGTACTGTTTCATTACTAAACCAAATTATGAATGACAGAACAATGTTTTAGAAAAGTCAGTACAACAATTTTAAACAATTATAAACATTTTTAAACCATTTATGTTAGTTTATACCAGCTGTCACTTTATTCAAGGTGTCACAGCAAGAAGACAAAAACAGAAGTCACAAGATCAGAGCAGCTTGGTATGACAGAGTAATACATGAATAACACAGTGTTACACACTAACAGGATGACAGCAGACACACGTGCTCACAGTGAAACAACAGAAATGATGTGGTGAAACTTTTACTTAATCTGCATTTAGTTTAACAAACAGTATCAGGGAAACTAAGTTTGTGGGATTTATTTAAGCTCACACAACTTATATTTTCACACAGGACCACACAGCTTTGGATAACTTTTCTCCCTTGAGAAATGAAATCCTCACGTAAAAACTGTATTTTGGATTAAGTGTAATGATAGAAATGGTTTGATGAACTGAAACACTTAAGTGGGAGAAAGATACAAAAGCAAAAATGACTTTGAGCATTCAGCTCTACATTGTGGTCATTTATAATCTAAGCAGCTATAAATGTAAGTGTTAATATAATGATTATAATCTTTTCATGCTGTTAGCTATGAAATGACCCAAATACAGACACTTGGAATCAAACTATAATCTAACAAAAGGCGAGCTGTTTATTTGTGGCTGGGAGAAAGTACAAAACAAAAGGCCGATCCACACTGAGGCAAAACTAACTAGAACTAAACTGGGAAAAACTAAATGCTAAACACAAGAGACAAAGAACAAAACCTGAAGTTGAAAAAAACATGAAAGTGAATAAAGGCAGAGGACATATATACTTAGAAGAGTAACAAGGGAAGTGGAAACACATGGGGAACACAGCTGACACAAATGAATGATGATACAGGGCAAGCAAAACTAAACACACTGAACATGGAAACACAA